CCCTCGTCTCTTCCTGCCATTATACTCTACCGTACTTATGTAGATTAGTTAATCTATTATCATGTCAGAAGGGATTTCAGCACTATTATGTGTCTTTGCTGCTTACTGCAGGTTCCAAAAAGTGACAATACAGATGCTTATATCTGGTTTCAGATACTGTTTTGCCTGCTAGACAGACTCTGTACGCAGGGTTAACATGGGACCTCTAGTCATACCTGAAGTTCCCAATGATGTGGCATGAATCCTGATGTAAAAACAGCGAGAACACTACAGATCTGTGGTGACAAAAGGGTCGGGATGATAAGACCAGAAGTAAGTTTCTAGCATTCTGGGAGATGAATTGGCAGAAATAAATTATAATATTCATAGCTACGTTTTCGTTTGTATATAATCACCTGAAACTAAGAATTATTGTGTTTGGGTTAGCTTAGAATGAGCCCTTTATATCTACAAAGGGGGTGTTCTTCTTCACGGAGTCCGCCATATTGCACTGCCATGTTTCTACAGTAGCCCAGAAAGGACAAACTAAACACTGGATCTAGATAGAGCCTTTCTTGTCACATGAAGACCACCAAAGTTTCCGAACACGCTTTTGAAAGTGCGGTGACGTGTGCCGCAAAACCGTACTCACCGCCAGCCCCCAACTGACATTTAATGCTCCTAAAGTAGTGCTATGAGGGTTAAGGATGGCCTCTGAGCGAAGCAGAACACCAATGAACACCATTTGGCACTTGACGGCTCACGTTACTGCAGTCTTTGAAAGGTAGGAGTGAGAAGAGGGGTATTCATTTGGTTGCAATATGCAACCACACCAAATCCTACACTCTGTACCTTTTTTTTAGGTTTGGCCCAGTACTAACATGGAAAGAATACATTGTGAAAAAAAAACTATTGTTTCGAATAATCTTGTTTGGTAAATGTGGTAAACATGCTTGCTAAATCTTAAAAATTGATGTAAAGAGCAAAGTCTATTATCCGGTCTGGAACATAACAGGGCTCTGATCCCAGAATGCTCTGGGACAGAAGGACTAGAGTTATGAACCTGGTGGATGAATAGCGCCGCACAAAGAAACCGCTGACAGACCGCCACTCCCTGAGGGCCTGGACAGTCAACACCACGACATTGCTCCACAGCTAAAGCCATTCTGATGCAAATATCTTGTGTTGGTGTTTGTGCGAGAGTGTATGGGAGAAACAGAAAGAGAAAAATAAATAGCACTGCATATACACAATACAATGGTGATATGGAAGGAGCGATATGATTAAAGCCAAACTCCCACAATACATGTAGTTTGTCTGAAGCAGTTCCATCTGCCAAATTAAAATGTGTGTGTGTTTGTGTGCGTGTGTGTGAAAAGTGCCTTGTCTTGGAGAGAGCGAGACAGAGACATGAGAGATGAGAGTTGGGAACAAAAGGCAGGAAAATGAGGGAGACAGATTGTAAAGGAAGGGCAGGGAGGAGAAAGATGATGTAGAGAGAGGTGAAAACGAAATGGAGCTAAGGGAAAAGCCGGGGCGTCCATGGGTCCTAATTAAAATGCTCTGAAAGTACTGAAGAGCCGTGGAGAAAATCCCTTTAATCATGTTACACAGCTTTCTAATGATGCCTAGTTTTGAACGTTTAAACTTCAGACACAAGTTTCAGAGTTGTAATTACACAAGAGCTAAAACTTTAGTGTAGCGTCAGTTTGTTCATTTAAATGTGTGCACCAAATAATTTGCTCAACATACATGTTGACTATGATATTAATACAGGACGGATTTAACATATCAAACATGTCCATCAATTATTCTCTGCCTTTTCATATATGATTAGGGCCTAATCTAGGCGTTCATTTGCTATGTTCATGCTGTGCTGCTTTGACTTCTATACAATTCTATTTGGCAATATAAAAAGACTCAAATCTGAAACCTGCAACCACTAAAATAGACAAAAAGGAGAGAAAGGGGCAGCATGTCATTGTCAAGAAGTAATGTACAAAATCAGTAATGAAGAGGAGTAAATGGGGTGTCAATGAGTCACGAGGGGGAAAGTGAACGGAGACAGATTAGAGAAAAGAGACCACTGGGATGAAAGTAATCCTGAAAAGATCCATTTTACTTAACTGATTACAACCTTCTACCCCGTCTGCAGTCGACTAGTAATGTTTTTCACCTCTTTGGGTGACTCCGTGACTCTTTGTGGATTTCTTTGTAAGTAAATGGGTCTCCACGTGCACATACACATGCTCATTACCACTGTGTGTGTGTGCATGTGTGTGTGATGCTTAAAGCAACTGACGAGTCACAGGCCCATCCATTAGCACAACATCTCCCAGCATCACGTGACAATCTACAGTGGTGAGCCGGGATCACAGCGTATGGTGTTGTGTGTTAATGGAGTTTTGGATGGATGGCTTCATACATGAGATTTATAATCTATGGTCGAAGGCTCAGAGCTCTAAAACCACTGGAGGTTTAATCCTAATCCAGGAGCTAAAACCTTCGTTGTGTTGCAACCCTGAGGGCGTGGCTACCACATCTATACTTCCACGCCATGTTGAGCACAATCTAACATGCCTTGCATATCTTTCCAGAACTAAAACTGTTTCAAGAAAGCTCCAAACTTTATTAGGAACTGTTACTGTATATATGTAAGTTTAAGGCATCCATACACAGTTACCGTTTTAAACTTTTGAGGCATAACAAGCATTGTAGCGGTGTCAGTGAATGAGCAGCAGCACTTATTAGAAAATAAATGAATTGGACGGTATATGTGTTGCGTTTTTGCTGCACCTGAATACGGGGCGGTTTAGTCTTTTACATTTAGTTGTGACCAAAATAAAAAATGTTCACCGCCCGAGAAGTAAACTCAAGTCTAATTCACTCCATCCTCTGTCTACACAGCTGTTTGCAGACCAAGACGTCACAAAGTCATGCTTCTATTTCAAGGGAACTGAATTGTCCTATCTTGCCTCTTTTTCATATTGTCTTGTGTTTCCCTTGACAGATTAAAGCTGCTTATCAATGGTCCAGTGAATGTAAACATACTCTGCTTACAAGCGGCTAACTGGTTCTTTAATCCCCACGCCAAAAGTCTCATTTGACTCGCCATGACATCCAGTGTCTCCCCTGTGTGTGTAAAACTCACTCGAGTCGGGAAGCTTAACAGAACACACATATTTGATTGGCTGAGTAGCATCACCTGATGTGATTTACAACACATGTAATTGGTCGGTGTTTTTCCTGGACCGCTGAACGAGTGTTATAGAAGAAGCGCTCAATCAACATTTCATAATTCTCAGATATAACGGCGTCTGGGTTCGGACTCAGACTGCGGTCTGCCTATTAGTGACCCCTGGTCTATTGTCACCGATACTCGATCCAGTTATCCGAGACAGTATTGTACCAGTATCTCTAATTTCTATTGACTCTCAACGGCTCTCATCATGACGACGGCTGAGCCGGTGGCTCGCAGCTTAACGAAGCTAACAGTGCTAATAATAAAAACTACAGCAAAGGTTCTGACAGAGCAGTGTTCACCTGAGGGGTAACTGGAGGGTGGGTGCTGCGATGACCCCTTTAGTCTGGACGGCGTCATCTGCTGTAACTGCCATAACTTAATGGGCTTGCTCCCATGCATTAAACGCATGCGAGGCCGGCCCAGCAATGCAATAACAACACACACACAGAGAGAGAGAGCGACTTCATTCTCTGCTCAGGTAGAGATTACTCCACCATATCTTTATTTAGCAAATAGTTGTTTGCTGCTTTATTAATGCTCTGAATATCGTATATATTGCTCCTTTAGAAGACTGAAACTTTCTCGCCCTTTGTGAATGGTTTGAGAGAATTAAAAAACATATATGATTTTTAGACTCAGTACTAAATTATAGGACTTGTGTAGCTTTATATAAGTGTTTTGCAGCACCTTTACAACTTTCAAAGCAGACAAGACACATTGTCCCACCATGAGACAGCAACACTGTCCATGAAAGACATTGCAGGCCTCCTGTCAAGGGTTAGCATGAAATACGTTCTTTTATCTCTCCCTTCAGTTATTGATATTCAAGCCATTCCTCCTCCTCCTCAACACATTCCCAACACGTGGACCAGTGACTGGATCGGTGCAATGAACCGAAGAAATTGGAAGGCTGCAGTTTTAATGTTTGCGCATGGTGTGCACACACAAATACTGTATGCACATAAACATGCATAGAGGGTTTGAAGAAATATCTTCAGCAAAGCCGGTCACAGACCGACAAGCAAACAACCCAGATGTTACAGCTGATGGTGCTGATGGGATGGAGCTTAGGAGAGAATTGCACTCATGCATGCACATCTAATTGCACAACAATGATCAAACATTAACGGACTGACACGTGCGCGCACAGTGTTTAAAAAAAAAAAAAAAACTCTTAGTGTAATAAATCACCCTTTTACAAATGTTTAGAAGTGTACCTTTGTGAGGAGACCAAACTGAAATAGATGTAGGGTGCAGAAAGAGGTGGATTTTGTATGATGAATGAATTCACATTTGTCATACAAAGATTCAGAAAGCAGTGTTTTGGTGACACCATAAAACAAATTATTGCAATTCTTTGGGCTTGATAACTTTAAATGAAATATTAAAAAGTTCTATCACTGCCATCCCAGGAAATGCAAACTCTGTTTTGTTTGATGTGAGCATAAAAAAAAAAGGTTTGATTGATTGGCTCCAATTGCTCTTTCATTTTTGTTGTTTCTGAAGCAAAATAACAAATTGCCTGATCGTAGAAAATTCTTCCAAAAAAGACCACACCAAAGGCCATTAGTCCCTTTAGGAACAACGGATAAAGATCAATATAGATTCACTTCTGGATTATCCAAACACATGCTGAACCCCCGACGACTTAATGACTTTTCTAAATCAAAATCATTAATGTCTTCGTCTTCTTTAACTGAGGCTCGTGCACTTACTGAAGGAAGTGCTTCAAAAGAAAAACCAAACTAAAAATGTAATCACTTTTCCCCAAACCTACCTTTGAAAAGCATGGCCGCGCAAATATAAAATCCAACCGAACATGGTCCCCAAAACTTCATCCTGGCACCGCTCTGTGGACTCCGCCGGCCCCCGGCAGCGAGCTCTCGGTGTCGGCTAGACAGGGAATCAGCTCCGGCTTGGCACTGGTGTGAACATGAGGCTGGGGAAAGACGAAGAGGAGGGAGACGGAGTGTGTGAGATAGAAAATACTCACGGACCAGATTGAGAGTGTGGAGTTGAGATTGGCGCGTTCACACCGCATCACAAAACACATTCCCTCACACAGTGCTGCACGGGGACGCGCGTCCGAGCTGGTAGCCAGAAATATGGGTGCTAAAACTTCACAGGTAAAACAGGCGGTGACCGCACAATATTAAATTGCGGATATATTAAGACCTCTCAGTACTTGTTTATAATTTCCTCCTAATTGAAACCTTATTTTCAATGTTTTTTTCCGGTGTGATATTTACATCTGTTAATGTTTTTTGTTTTAATTCGCTTTTTCCAAGAATTTTAGTCAAATATTTACGTTACCACGGGACTTTGGGGAAAGCTCTAGGCTACTAACTTTAAATAAAATAGTTTTGTGTCTCGGGCCCTCACCTGTCTCCAACCCGTGCCCACCTCCATTAAAGATGACAGCGTGCGACGTCCACGGAGAGCGTGGGTGCATCATGGGTGCATCATGGGTGCATCATGGGTGCATCATGGGTGCATCATGGGTGCATCATGGGTGCATCATGGGTGCATCATGGGTGTGTGTGAATCCTGCGCTACTCGCATTTGAATTCCCTCTTCACTTTGTGTACCTGTTGTCAAACTGCATTGTGACTTTTATTGATAGTCAACTTAAAACACATATTTTTTATTATTAGTATTAGATGCTTCGTTTATTTATTGTTAGTATGAAGGCGTGTGTGGCCAGAAGAACAGCACGTTTTTAAATATAAAGCATGCCATGGAGAGGTTTTCTGCTTTATGGGTTTTCGAATTTGATTTAAAATCTAAACATATTTCTAGTATGTAAAATCACTGTGATGTTATTTCTGCTCTAATCAATATCCTTATTAAAACAATAGATCAAATTCGTATATGGTGATACAGGGGTTGCTTGTGAGGAACTCACAGAGAACTATCACCTTGCAGCTCTAAGGATCTTTTCATTGTCTTTCAAAGCATTGTTTTGGTTACAGCCAGAACTTTCCTATCTTATTTCAGTCTCGCTGCTCCCATCAGCATTGTTTTCAGCTCCAAAGATCTGTGAAAACCACAGTATGCTACCTGCTCTGCAGCAAACGACAGACAGACGAAGTTAGTGACTAGGGAATATAGAGCATCATTTTAAGGAAAACAGAACAAAGGAGAGTACATTGGACTTACATTCATTACAACAAAGACACAACTTCAAATGATAATATTGCTCTGTTTCTGCTGGATGTGTAAACAAGCAATGGTTTGCAACCAGATTCACCATATCTAAATTCATATTGAGTCAACGTTGTGTTTACAGCTTGACGAGCTGCCCCCGAGTGGCCAAAAATCAATTAGTACTGATTTCATCAAAGATAATGCTTAGAGTCACACTTACATACAGAAAAAGACAAAATTCCTCTCCGTTTTTCTCAGCATTGGTCACGACCAGGCCAGAAACATTCAGCCCTTGGAGTAGGCGCACATCAACACCCATTCCCCCTCTCCCACAGTTGCAGACTATCAATTTGTAAAAGTCATGATGCAATTTTCCACTTTCCGGTTTTACAAAGAGGTTCATCAAATGCATTTTTGTCGTATTTGTCACCTTTTTGTGCTCATAATCAAATGACCCATTTATTTCAGTCCATAAATAATTTCAGTCAGAAATAGGATCCGACGGGCGCTGAGAACATTTGCAGAAATGTGCAGAGTTCCCCCTCATGAGTCCCTTTCTCTCCCCTTCTCAATGGAACAGGGGCGTATCATCAAAGAAGCAATCCTGTGCCAGTGGTATTAGACCAGTTCCTTCAATTTTTATACCCCACATGTCTACGTCTCATGGAGTTCCATCAGAGGTGATTCATGCTGCTAGATGTGATTTGGTACAGAATACCATATCTGTTTGTGTTGTTGGGCCGACAGTCACTGTGGGCTCAGTAAAACCTCTGATCACAACCTTCATCCTCGTACTTGCTCTCACTGGGCAACCGTCTAGTAAAGTTAGAAGTCAGTGCATCACATTTTAGCTTTTCCTCAATGCACAATCCACTGATAGGAGGTGAGCAGGAGAGGAAAGCATAGAAAAGCTTGGGATGACCAGAGGGAGTTGTTAATTCTTTATCTTTTATAAATGAGAAATGTTCTGCTAATGGATTTAAATGTTGTGGAGCTACCATTGCTTCTTTCCAGTCTGTCACTGTCCCTTTCTCCCTCTACATCCACCTTGTCTTCTTCTACTACTTAAAACAAACCTTGTGAACACGTAATTGCCCATTACAGAGACAGTGCTACATTGTTTTGCTTATATGTGTGAACACCACACGAACAAAAGTTAAAACAGATAACTGAAAATGACAAAATCAAAACTCTTCTCTCCCCCTTTTTTCAAATATTTGAAATATTCCCCTGTCCCAGCAGGGTGCATTTGTGTGTGCATGTGTGTGTATGTGTGTGTGATAGAATGGGGTCAGATGAGTTTTAGTTTTGTCTGAGTCACTATACCTTTGATGTGTGGAAGATGCAAAGCTTATTCTGTGGCAGAAAGCACAAGGGTCCCAGAGCTATCTAAGGTGTGTATGTGTGCATGCTTTGGGTTTATGCATTTATGTGTGTGTGTGTGTGTGTGTGTGTGTGTGTGTGTGTGCGTCTGAAATTGTGCATTCATGTATACATTACAAAATTATTTAAGAAACAATGAATGTGAAGCTTTATCTGCTCTAATACAAGCTGTAGTTAGGTTATCTGTGAGTATCCGCTCACATGATGAAATGCATCTTGGTCCTCCCTAAAAACAGCTGCTCGTCATTTGTCCTGCTGTTTCTGTTACACTGCCGAGGTGGCGACTCAGTTCATAATGGGATGTCAAAGAAAGGTCAGACCTTTCACACACACACTAAGGAGTTTACTGTGAAAACGGTCAGCAGTGCACACAAGGGTTAGGAAGAGACACAGAGAGTCACACAAACACAAAACACACAGAAAACAAGAGTGCATTGTGTGGGTGGACATCAATGTGGGATCAAAGAAAAGTCTTTATTCCCAGAATTACATGCAATGAAATACCCTCAGACACATTTTTATACACTTATATTTAAAATAGAAGGAGTTTAAATCATTAATGACTTGTATTCTGTTGGACCTTTTGTTATTGTCTCTCTGCATCAACTCCTATCCCCTGAGCCTTTAGGTGGTCATTTTTGTGCATCTGGTTGAGCAAGTGTAGATTCTACAACACACGAATAAATTCACATGAAGCCTCCTGCTCACACTTTAAAAGGATGGGAGCTTTTAATGCAGCACCTTCAAAAGTAGAAACCCAAATTAATACTCTTGGGACCTGCTTTGAAAATCCTAGCAAGCCTTTCTTGACTCAAATAGCAGGCTTTAAATCCCCTTCCCTTCGGTAACCCTACATACACATGCATATTTTGTTCATGGTTAATTGTGTCACATATTAGACAGTTTTAATTAATACCTTTCATTTTTGTAAATTATTTTCCTGATTTCAGGCCCACAATTTACTCTGCTCACTTTTTTTCTTGTGTTTAATCCAACTTCCAAAACATTCTGAAAAGCAACACAAAAAATCCCATGTGTGTCACACATGGGTTAAATGCCTGGAGCCGGAATTGTGAACTGTCTACCAAACGTGGCTAGAACGCCACCCAGTGGAAGAAATGTTGATGTACACAAAACTAATAAACACACAGACAGTATTATAATTCTCCCATGACCAAAAACAGACTGTTTGTCCAGACAGGGTCATCTTTATGTTAACCAGTGTGTGTGTGTGTGGGGGGGGGGGGGGGGGGGGGGGGGGGGTGGGGGGGGGGGGGGGGTGCTCTGTCAAAGTTCTGGCACCCAGGTAAGTGGTTACTTTGAGTGGTCGGCCTGACGCTTGATGTCATTCACTCCTCTCTGGTTCCTGGTAAACATCTGTGAAGGAAACTCTTGTTCACTTTCACATTGAGATGAGAGATTCTGAGCTGTGGAGACACTCAGACGTTCGCCTGATCAACAGTGCAGTGCTCAGACAGGTTTCTGGTAAATCTCACATTTTGCTACTCTTTTGCTTACTTTACTATGTTTCTCTCTCTATCTACCTGTTATTTATTGAGCAAAGGTGCACACAAGTGCCAAAAGGAAGCGGTTGCTTTTCGAAACATTTGAATGCATATGATTGTGGGTTATTTCTGTGAGTTGTATGCTCATTATTATTTATAATGGCTTTTCTTATCAGAAACATGATTTGTTTAGATTTAGGGCCATGCTAATCCACTTGACTGAGCAATGTGATTTGATTACTTTACTTTACTATAAATTTGGATTCTGGATTATCTACAAACATTATCAACAATTCAACATGTGCATTTTCTTTTCCCAAAACACTTTTGTTTTGTTTTTTGTTCTCATCACTTTCCTAAAAAAAGTGTGGACTTTGATCTGATTGGTAATATTTTATTGTTAAAATATTACTTGATTATTTGAAATGGAAACTCTTTGTGACTTGTAACTCCTTACTCTTGCACGCTGAAAGTGTTTGACGTCTCTTTTTAAAATACATGTATCTGTGTTAACATTGTGTTCGGGGGTTTTCGTCGCCCCGTTCATGAAGGAGGAGGAGGCAAAGCGATTCATCGGGCTGGAGAGACAGTCAGGATACTGGGATCCACACCGCTCTCAGAACCGGTGGGGTTACACCGCTCAGGAACAGGTAACACTGCTCTGTGTGGTGTGAATACGTACAATAAGCCAGTTTGACCATGATTTATAGTCAGTTAATGCAGTTAAACTCAATACTTTTTCAGCCGTTTAAAGAGGTTTTTCTATCACAAAGTGTCTTTTTCCTCAGGCAAACAAGTACTAGCAGCAGTACGAACAGATGCTGAGTACTACATGGACATGAGTACCATGATGTCTGACCGCTCTGTGGCGACGTGAGTGAGATCACGTTGTAGCAGCAGCAATTCAGTTGTTAGGCATTTTCAATGTGCCTTACTTCATAATGTTTTAATTTGCAAGTGTAGACAATAGTCTTAGTGCCATATTCTTCCTACTTTAGCACAGTGCCACTTTGACGTGAGGTAGTAGTTCCTTACTTGATAATAATAATAATAATAATAGTAATTTTATTGTTTTAATTCAACAGATTTGCTGAGTCAGTATATTCGATTTAGTTACCTCTTGTTGCCATTAAGCAGTTCAACTTTTCCTGAGTGTTATAACCTGTTTTAATATGCTATTAAATTGACATAATTCATTTTCTGTGTTTTGAGGAGATCAGAATTCCCATTAATACAATGCTTGAGAGGTTAAAGCTCAAACATTTACAGTAATGTGAAAAAATGGACATTTTATTTTCCATCCTAAGTAAATCTTGCTTGTTGTGCTATTACAAATATGATTTGATTCAATGATCATTTATTTCAGTTCTGGGGTAAAAAATAATGATGTTTGTGTTTTGCATGATGTGTCATTTCTCTAAAGGAGATGTTTTCTACAGATCCCTGATTTACCACTAGGTGGAGCAGTCACCCTTCTCATCTCTATATTTTTAGTACTTTCCTTTTTTGTTTCTTTGTTTTCTGTGACATCAGTGTGACTGGACAGTCTCAACTTTTGATGATATTATGGACAACTTTAATTTTCAATAGAACAGAGGTAAGTATGGCATTAATAACAAGAAATAAAGCCTCATGTATTTAAACCAACTAGTGCGATAAAGTACATTTGAACAATACAAATACTGTACCTTTGAGGATTGTGCCATTTCAAGATGAAATGTCCATTCGGTCTTAATTTATTTATTACACTATATATTATGTTGCTTAAAATCACTGCAGTGACCAAAATAGAGCACATTTTGTGTTTGAAGAGGGTGAGAAACACAACAACAAAAAGTCCAGACTATTCAGATGCAACATCACAAATTAGAGCTCTTAATGTCTTTATTCCCCTAAAGTATGCTAACGTCTTCAAAGATTCTGCAAACAGAAAACAGGTTGTCGCATATCTAATGAATGTGTAAGGTAGTTCAAAGGTTGTTGGTACCTTGAGAGAATAAATCATTTATTTTTCTTACAATATACTAGTAAAAAGAAGTTACAGTAAGTAACGTATTAGTGACATATAAAATGAACATATTGTTGAAGTGATAGTTTGACATTGGGGATTTGAGATGGTCAACCAGATACACCAAATTAAAGACAATGTCAATTAGAAAGATAAACCAATAGAGAGGAAGTTGTGTTTGATGTAAATTAAGTCAATGATGAAATAGTGAATTATCTCTTTTTTGATGTTTTTTTGCACGTTTCATATAATTTTAGCTTGAATACCTTTCTAAAATTACCATTATGTGTAATCTAGTGCATTAATAGCTGCATGCTACTTAAACCCATCATGATCCACCAAATCCGAATGTGTTGAATTTCAATTGTTTGGCTGAAAAGCAATACAGGTTGCATTCATTTTCACAAAAATTGTATTATTTCTCTATAAGCAAAGCATTATATTATCATAATAATTCGAAATGTGGTATAATGTGCATAACATGTACAGATACAATGACTTAACGACATAGAGAACATTTTACACAGTGGATCTCTGGAGAAGTCAGAGAGTCAAAGTTATCCATTACAAAACACCTGAAGTGTCTTCCTCTTGCTCAGTGGTAACAAATGCGTTGTAGATTCTTGAAGGTTGATGGTCACTTGCCTGTGAAAGTGGTGTTATTGTCTAGTTTGAAGGTGAATCCTCACTTGCAATTGGAGTAGGGATTTTAAAAAACAGGTACAGAGCTGGAGTGAAGATGAGGACAGTGCCCAGTATTGAGACGGTGAGAAACACCCACAGGAAGATCCTGTCTAACACCTGAGCCACAAACTTCCAGTCTTGTACCACCTAGAAAATAGAGGAAATGTGAGACGTTATGACAGAAACAGATATAAACATTGAGCCCTTAGAGCCATTCTAATGATTAGCTCAATCTTTCCTGATCAAGTCAAACCCACCTCGCGGATGAAGTGCTCCTTGCGGATATGTCTGCTGATGTAGCGCACTGAGTAGACAGCCTTGTCCAACATGGTCGCCCAGGCCTCGTCCTCCTTCCCCTCAGAAGTTGTCTGTCCGTGGGCTCCGCTTTTTGCCCTCTGGCCTCCTTTCCGACCTCCAGAGCGGGCCTTCAGCTCTGGGCTTTCAGGAGCCAGCTCTGGGTAGTGGTAGCGGTCGATGTGCCCACGCATGCAGAGCATCCTCGGCAGCTTCTGAAGGAAGAGATTACGAACCCACGGCGACATGGGGTGGTAGGTGGCTGAGGAGCGGTGGTGCACATTGATGACAAAGACAGTGACGATGATTGAGAGTGTCACAAAGATCATGATGAACAGCAAGTACTCTCCAATGAGCGGGATCACCTTGGAGGAGGAGGGAATGATTTCTTCTATGACCAGGAGGAACACAGTGAGCGACACAAGCACAGAGGTGGAGAGTGACAGCTTCTCTCCTTCGTCCGAGGGAAGGTAAAACACCAGGACGGTCAGAAAGGACAAACCCAAACAGGGGAAGATGAGGAAAAGTGTGTAGAACAACGGCAGCCTCTTCAGAATGAAGGAATAAGTGAGGAAGGGGTACGAATATATGTCGTCCTTCCTGTTCCCTCTGGCTCCAGTGGCATTTAGGATCTGCCACTCCCCATTATCGAAGAAGTCCTTCTGATCTACCTGGTTGTCTCTCAGGACCAGGTCCACCATATTGCCATCATATGTCCAGGAGCCAAATTTCATGGTGCAATTCTGGCGGTCAAAAGGGAAGAAGGTGACGTCCATAGTGCAGGCGGATTTGTAACTAGCAGGTGGCGTCCAGGTGATGACACCGTTGAACTTGACAATGGCTTTGGTCATCAGGGAGCCCTCGAACCGCCCATCAGCACTGAAGGAACGTGGAACAAGAAGCTTTTTACGCATTATTTGTGGTTTGATTTTTTTTTTAAGTATTTGTTACTGAAAATGAATTCACTGAATTAAATTAGCACTTTTGATCATAACTCAGTGTTACATAACTGTTATTTTAGTGTGTGAGATTGCAGCTAATATGAGAGTATTAAAATGTGGTTATCAGTATATTAACTTTTTGTTGCTGCACTTTTCATACGGTGCGTCTTAGTTATTTAAGTTTCACATGAAGGTAATGGTCAATCAGTTTGTCTTACTTCTCATAGAGGACGATGTCTGGGAGCCAAATAATTTCAGAGGGGACTCTGATGGAAGTGATACCTCCGTATTTGTCTGGATTCCATCGCAGCTTGTAATCGGTCCACTCCTGGTCAACAAAAACACAGGACATAGGATGCAGTACCGTTAGTCCTCCACTAAACAATACTGAGTTTTAGTTTGCATTTATAGGCATCACAGTTCATTAAAAAGTTGTAAAAGGTTCTTGTCCTTGGAATTGGATCACATCCACCAGAGATTTAAAAAATTAAAAAAAATATTTCATAGGGCTTGTTGAGAGGGAAATGCAACTCCTTTTTAATTTGTTTGTTTTTACAAAGAAAAATCAATGCCTTTTAGCCAACAGAACATGCTGTTCTGTCAAGCTAATGCTATTTGATAATACTTAAATACAAAAAAGTATTTCCTGTGTTATACATCCAAAAGTATTTATTTTTATCAGACAGAACAGAAACAGTGTTGGTCATGAAGAGTGCTGAACTTAGTTTACAAAATTTAGACTGTAAAATACACAAGCGAATATCAATCAATATCAATACTATCATGTTCCTTCTTATAAAACTATTGCAGTATGTCTAACTATTAGGTTGTGTCATCTCCTTGACCTTTGTGTATACGAATGGTAAGATTAATAGTAAGTATTTCGTCTCAGTTGGTTTGTATCTCTTGCTCACCTGCCACAGCCAAACATTGGTTGTCATTAGCTGATTCTTCTCATCCTAAAACAGACAAAGACAACAATAATATTAAAAAAATAGGAAAAATACCCCAGCAGCAAGATAACATAGTATAACATAACATGATCAAAATAAAAAAATGGTTTGCACATCACCAAAATTCAAAACATGTGATTTAAACCTTCTATCGCTCCCAATGTTACTGTCAAGTCTTTAAAAACCGACCAAGATATATAAAGAGTGAAGGTGACTGGGAATGAGGCTCTGGTATTTTTAGTTTGACATAATCTAAATCAACAATATCAGTTATGTTTACATGAATATGTTTTTCCCTTCAAATAAAAAGGAAGAACATCTCCTGCATGTTTGGGGTTGTATCTAATGTCTGATCTGGGTGCTTCCATCACAATATTAGATTTGATTAGTTGACAACATGAGAAGCTTGTTTGAAAGTAAACGAATCATCCGTTTCCCCTGCCATGACATCAGACGGAATCTCATTTACCTGTCTCTGCCACTTCCTTAGTAAACAAGAAAAAGAAACAGAAAACCGGAGGTGGGTGCAGTGAACCCTGAAGCTGAAGCAATATAAATGCAGTCGGAGTGTAAATAGATGAACACAGGAATAGAGATATGAGAGTGGTTAACACAGGCTTATTTCCACATCACTGGAGGTGAGTTTGAATAACAGGGGGAAGACTGAGCGCAATAGACTTGAGAGAAATAAACAGTAGAGAGATGCAGCTGTTTAGTTGTATCCAGACCAGGCCACAGCTGTCAGACTGAGTTGAATGGCTTCATGATCACATAGAGCAGAGGTGAACCATAATCTAATACAGAGTGATGTAGCCTACAGTAGCAGCCTAGAGATGCTCAGGGGACGGACATAGAGTAGTGTAGCGGAGCTGCTGTGTCTCTGGTTAGCCCTCTTTCTCTTTCCCAAAATGCAACAGATCATTCACCTAAATCTGTCTTATCTGCAGTGCTATAGTGGGGCTTTGTTTAATTCATCCCTGATTGTCTTTGCCCAGCACATATGTTAGGTGAAAGGATGAAGAGCTAAATCTAAACTGGTTGAGATTAATATTTTAAACCGAGAACAGCGGCTCCTCCATTAGAGTCCTCCATTTTCTCCTCTTGAACACCTAAACCATCTGAGCCTATCACAGCCAGCCTCTGAAATATTAAAGGAACACTCCAGAGACAGAGACTGTGTGGTTGTAGATATGAAAGAGTGTTCCAGATCTATTTCAGGACCACATAAAGCTCCACACTGTCAAGCTGCCAGTGGCCTGTTTGGCTTCAGCACCGCAGACAGCGACACGGCTCGGCACGCGAGAACCAACCGCATCTAACTCTGGTTCTCAGTGAGAAAAAAACCTTTGTTCTTTTTGATATATTTCTATGTGTGTAAAGTCATTCTATTCTTTTGATGGATGAACCTGGAATGTTTTTGTTGTTGTCAACTCCAAATACTTTGTGGCTTCACCACCATGTCTTTGGCTCTCAGTCCCACGCCCACTGATTTCTAACGATGACATAAATCTTTAAAAAACAGGTTACTATATATACACAAATTATTCATTTTTTTTTTATTTTTTTTTTTTTATGAAAATAGTTTAAATTAAAGGCTAAATGATTTCCTAAAACATCTGATCCCGATATTGTTGAGCAAATTTAAGCTAAAAAGTAGTAAATTGTTCATTTGCTGGGGACTATTTACAGATGTGGTGCACTAGCAAGTAATATCTGACAGCTGGACAGTTTATGTGGGATTTACTCCAAATAAACTAAAGTGTGCATGATCATGGTAATAAAGGACATTTTCACCCACTGATTCATTTATGTCTTTAACTGTTTTGAGACAAGAATGGAGCTCTATGGCAGATAGAAAAAGCTATATCAGGATTTGACTCCACAGATAATACTGACTCGTAGGATTAAATCATTGTTGGTTTTGGTATTTTGCCAATATTAAAAATATGGAGTAACCCCAGACTCATCCTTTAGCATCCGCGTCATGATGAGGTTAAATATACGGTTCAAAATAAGGTGTTTGTTTTTCGACAAAGTGCTGAGTTTAACCCCTTAACTTAAAAATATGTCTCCCAAACAGATTAAAAACTCAAAAAAATATTCTCATGCTATACTGTATGTCACAATTATATTCACCATCTAGTCACTGAAGTTGTAACGTGCCTATATTGAGCAAAATGTAGAAAAAATTGACATGGCTGACATGAATACATTTTTATGGGATTGACCAGTTTACTCTAAAAACCTACTGTACTATAGGAGCGTGACTTGCTTTTAAACAAAACAATTTTTAATTTAGAGGGTTTTGTGGAAAACTCAATGTGTGCTTGTAGTTTATATCCACTAGTGGGATCCAAACTACAAATCTTGTCATGAAAACAGAAGTGCATGGATATGTGCTTGTGATTGCAGGTGTTTTCTCACCACATCAACCAGCTGGGAGATCTTGAGTCCGAAGCGTACCCTAACAGTGTCGTTGACGTGCTGGATGGGCCTGACCCAGCGCTGGTAGCCTTGGAAAAGGCTCCTCAGGAGGGCGTCCTCCATCTCCGCCAAGGACACAAACTCATTCGGAGCTTGAACAAAGAGAAGGAATGTGGACTAAAAACTGTTCATGAATTATCAAATGCTTTGTGTTAGTTTGTGAATAAAGAATAGATTTGAGTAAAGCTTTCTCACAGAGAAAAAATAAACAAACAAAAGAAAGACATCATCTCTACTTTGAGTGGAGAGCATTGGAAAACAGACAGTTTCAACTAGCTTCTAATCACTGTTGTCGAGGAACCTTTTCATGTGTGTTTTTTTTTAAAACATCTAAAAACAAGAGTGATGATGTTGTATTTTAAGTAGGTCAAATGTACAGTTTGAGAGTTAACTACAATTGGCTTGGCAGCAGCACCTTGACATTCAAATACTTTGAATTTCTTCTTCCTCATTCCTCTTTTCCTCATACATTGAAAGTGTGTTTCAGCACTATGGACAGTAACCCTGCTTAAACTGAGATGGATATATTGTCAACACTGTAAACTGTGTTCAGTAAATCCTCAAATGTGTTCCTTTATGTGAATCACATAACACTAGGAGAACAAAATTAGCAAAAAAAAGGTGTATTGAACAAGCTGTTTCCCTCCAAATCCAGCCAATCGTCATCCAAAAAAATGCAATTTGCTGGAAAATTCCCCTCACAGCGACCATAACTGTCTAGTTGTGTGTGGTCGGGTATTGGAACTATGTCGCACTATAAGGGAGAATTAAATTATGCAACTCTGCACGGCGTCACAGATGGAGGGGGAGGGGTTAGAGATAATATAAGTCAGCCCATCAGTCAGCCTGAGGCAATATAATGTCTCTGGAGGGACAGATACAGTAATGTTGACAAGAGACAATATATAATGTCAGACACCAGGGACGTCAAGTGCAAGAGCTGATGTGTGTGAGGAGGAGGAGTGTGGACCTGCGGCTGGTTTCTCTCCTCTGGCTTCACATCTGTCTGACTACCTGACTGGACCGATAAAAGTATCCACAAAGCAAACATAACACCACAAAATCAATGGTTATTTTAGTTCTACTGCATCACCTCTATCTGTGCTTTCAAGGACTCAGTGAGGGGTGCAGAGAGCTGGACGCTGACATCCGACACCTGTGTTCCTGTCTGTCTGATGAACAATCAGCTTCAGCACAACTGAGCCTCTGTTCTTGAACTAAAAAGCTGATAAATCTCAGTGGAAATAACTCTGATAACATGTGATTCATTTTTTAGTTCCAAATATTTCTGCTTGACTAGTGGCATCATGATGAAAACAAATCCCCAAATAAGAAGAAAGGGAGGAAATAGTCTACAAAATAACATGAATGAGAAACGGGGAAAGTAGCACAATTAACACGGATTCTGTAACAAACTGCTGTAAAGCACCAACCTATAGCTTTGGATATAAGCAATGAGTTAAATGTGCATGTTTATCAGGTCAGAATGTTACACCACATGGTCCGTCTCTCCAAACATTAACGATGCTAGTGGATTCCCCCCCAAAAGAACACATAATAGTTTCCTTACCGGGGATGTCGGCGAGGGACAGCGGGCAGAGGAGGAGGAGGAGGACCGTCAACTTCATGATGCTGCCTCCCGGTCCGACCGAGCGCTCCCACAGACCCCCTGTTACTATCGGCTGTTCTGCTGGACAGGAGGACTACAGTGCTCACACTAAGGTGGCGCAGGCACGGAGGTTTCCATCAGTTGTGATCAACACCATGGGGAAAAAAAGCCCTCCCTCTACAGTTTCACAGGGACCCGGTGTCACGGGGAGCGGCGGTCAGCAGAGCGGCTCTCTGGAGGAGGAGGAGGAGGCGAGAGTGGGACGGATGCCTGGGTGGGGCTTAGGCGTAGAGTTTAAAACCCGATCGGAATCGTAAAGCACGTTTTATCTTGTATCTCTGTGGGGTTGCTGTTCTGCTTGTGGCTTTTTATGGTATAACACAAAAACATTATAATAATCCTGATCGGGACTATGAAAGGAAACTTTAGGTTGTGCAGTATATTTTATAAAGTGTACATTTCACTTAAGTCTTGGAAGAACTTGCCCTCATATAATGAGTGATGCATCGTTTCCTTTTTAGAAGTATAGAATTGGGACGTGATGTCATTGTAGTAGCGTGTGACAAAGGGTGGATGTCATGATACTTAATGGCGACTACCTTATGCCGTGTAGAGGGCTGTATGTCCCGCACTAGTAAAGTAATAGCCCACATTCTAACTGGCAAATGTAGTGAGATCAGCTGCGTATTTAATGTCACCGTCACTGCTCCTCCACTGGAGAGCGCTAATAGGAACACTAACACAGGACATCATGCTGTTAGGGAGGACATGACAGGAGAGCACGTTTCTGACATTTAAAGATTCCCTCCAGCTACAATTGAATCTGTGGTTTATAAATTTCAGAGCAGCCATGAAATGGAAAAAGACTATTATAATATCCCAATTGGAACTCATGTTTGTTCTTATGGTATCAGGTGCATGGTTTATGTGTATTATACTTTACCATGTTATGAATCATGATATTCATTCAACAAGAATCATGGCAATAATCATATTTGCTGTTACTGATTGTGGCCTATATGTGATACTGTATTGTCCTCTACCTGACAACAGGTTTTTAAATTCACAGTACTCTACAGCATCAAATTATTTTTTCAGCGTCATTTTCTCCATGACACACATCAAAGAAAAGTCTGATTATTTCAATCAAGTTGCTTTATGGATAGCAACAGACTCATGGGAACATCACCAAAGACCAGAGTGTATCTATTTGTGAGGTGTTGTTGTCAGTGCAGCAGGTTGCGCAACCAAATGCTTCATCACAATTATGTAACATTTTGATCCTGTTTTTCTTTTCATTCCTATCGTTCTAGTCTTTTTTTCCTTATTTATGACATGAGTGACACAGCATAGCTAGCACTCGAAAAAGGTCTAATTCACACACAAAGAAAGAGAAAGATAAAGAAAAAGAGAACAGGAAAAAGAGCGTAAACTCATTTACATCCCCCACACAAATCACATAAATCACACTTCTGATGAAGAACTGTGCAAACAACATGACTTCTAACAAAATGCAGCAAATGTTTAGTTGAAGTGAGAAACAAGCCGTTGATAGAAATAGATACTGTTTAGTGTATATGAGCTTGGACACTTTCTGTATTCAATAAAATAAATAACTTATGAAAATATTGGTTTTAGCAATCAACCAAGCAAACACCCACCTGTTCAAAGAGGCACAACATACGCAGCAAACACACACTGAGGAGGAAAATCAGTAGGCTAATAGTGTGCATGTTTTTCCAGGTTCAGGATCATGACTTGAAAACCTTCCTCCTTCCATTTGCATGTCACATGAACATGCCAAAACATATAACCTGATGTTTGGCGAGTGTCATTAATAACTAAGGCTTTCCACAAGATTTCTACAAAAAAGGATTCTGCTGTAACAAAGTATGTGAACAGCAGTCGTCACATACTTGCCATTGGATGTATCTTTACTCAGTGCATTGGGGTCAGATGATGATGACAATTTATGTTTGTCATGAATTCAGCATTTATGAAAGGCCAAAGTAAGTTTTTATACCCAAAATAGTTTTAGTTTTAGTAGCTTAAAGCGATGAAGAACTTAATCTGAAACCCTGATAAGAAGCAATTTCCGTGTCAATAGTTTTACTCCATACAGTTCCAGCAAAAACTGTTGATACACAAGTTTTAAAATACAGGCAGAAACCTGTGCAACTGATATCTTAAAACCTGACAAATAAAAGCACAACCTCTGCATGGCTAGATTTTGTGATTTGGTTGAAACGACAGTAAGGTATATGGGAATGAATGCAGGCTATAGTTCCTCACAACTACACTAAGGTAAACATTTAACACAAAATATAGACACACAGACTCCAACACACACTCACACACACATTATGCATATATTTTGAAGTTAACTAGGCATGAAGCACACTTTTTTTTGTATTTTATTATTCGCTCTCTAAATGTCACACACTCTCTCTCTCCTCCTCTGTGGGGTGAAGTGACGGGGATAACGGGAGGCTGATTATCACAACGAAATTATCCTGATTTTCTGCTCCACTTGGAGCTGTGGGGCGGGCAGCTGCTGCCTCTGAGATCGTCCCGTCCGCCTCTAATCATTCGGAAACATGAATTCTCGCGGGCTGGAAACCTGCCGGTCCCTTCCCAGACGACTGTGGGCAGCTGCACGGTGTGTGTGTGTGTGTGTGTGTGAGAGAGAGAGAGATAGATAGAGAAGACAGAACGGAAAAGGAGAATATATTTTCTACATCTGTGTGTGTGTGTGTGTGTGTGTGTGTGTGTGTGTATGTGTGTGTGTGTGTGTGTGTGTGTGTGTGCGTGTGTGTGTGTGTGTGCGTGTGTGTGTGTTTGCCACCAATAGAGCTTGTTTGTGTGTGTGTGTGTGTGTGTGTGTGTGTGTGTGTGTGTTTGCCACCAATAGAGCTTCTTTGTGTGTGCGTGTGTGTGTGTGTGTGTGTGTGTGTGTGTGTGTGTTTGCCACCAATAGAGCTTCTTTGTGTGTGTGTGTGCGAGTGTTGTTTTTGTTTTCTCAGCTGGTTGTTGAGCTCATAATTAAAGTCCGCATAATTTACTTGATGCAGAAAAATGTAATAAATGAGACGAAACACAACAGCCATGTCTCTCAAGGCCTGTGGTTTTAATCTTAATCGGTTTGTTATTTTCAGGATTAAAAAATGGTGATGAAGGCAGGAAAGGCTTTCTACAAGGGGAATCAAATCTCACACAAGCTTCAAAGAAAAACACAAAGTCAGCGCTCTCAAACATGCTAATACTATTAGCCCACTAAAGCTACCACCAGCACTTTATGGGGAAACCCTGATAACCTTGTTCATCAATGGAAGCCAAAGCAGCTTTTAGAGGATGCAAACTTTTTCAAAATGAATCAAACTTTTAAGTGATCTGATGTTAAAATCCCTCACATCAACAATGCAAGAGTTCAGTTATTTGATATTTTAATCATCATAAAATACCAAAGAACTACAGAGCAAAATAGATGGAAAGATTTTGGCCAGATGAGAGGGGAAAAGTCCTCGGGGATTTTGTCAAAACTCACAAAAGAGAGAAGAAAATGGAAAAAAATGGAAAGTGGGGGATTAGGAGAAAATGGCTACTCAGCATGAGACCAGCGCATTCTGGGATGTATGACTTTCAGTGTCAAATCAAACGTTAATCATAAGAGAGTTCAATGTCAGGTACAGCTGGTTAGCAGCAAACTGAGCTTCCTCATTCAGCAGACACTCAAACACAATGTATGTATTGACCTCTAACACGATACGTCTCACTCTGATTTAGCTTTTGTCTTCATCTGACTGACGCAATGACGAGAAAAGGCCACTGATGGTTTGAAACATAACCAGGGTTACACTGTCTCCTTCAGGTAAGATACTGTAGGAATGACCGAGGAGCGTGTGTGTGTGTGTGTGTGTGTGTGTGTGTGTGTGTGTGTGTGTGTGTGTCTGTCTTTCTGTTAACAGTGTAACAAATCAGGTTTCACTTGAGTCTTTGAGATATTTTAAACAAAAAATAATAATTAACTCAAACTATGAAATCAGTTATTTTCCCCTTTAGGGTATAACATATACAAATGTAGTGTTATCAAGTATAACAGTTTTTTTTAAATGACAATGCGGGTCATAATGGTGATCTTCTCACTTCTAGTGCCACCACGAGGTGGACCGTTTTGGTTTTGAATGAAATAGATTTGCAAATGGTGGATGGATTTCCATGAAAGTCGTTAAAAATCCTTTTGAATCTGATTCCTACCGGCTCTGTTTATCTCCTGACTTTTCATCTAGTGTCATTATGAGGGTGAATGTTTTGTTCAGGGTGAAATTTCAGCCACTAATGGACATTGTCTCTTGCACAATCATCAGGGAAAGTTTAGCTTTGTCCAATATTTTAGTTTATGACCAAATAACTGAAGATCTTTTGAAATATAGTTTGGTTCTAATTAGGAAATGCTGTCACTGCTAAACATCAGCATGTTAACATTATCATTGAGACCATATTGTTGACCTTAACATTTAGGTCAAAGCGCCTCACAAATAAAGCTCAAGTGACAGAATCTCTTAAATGAAGAAATATTTCAGCTTTTGTTTATTTTCATTTATTTTTGGTGCCGAAACTGAAAAATAAACAACTGCATATCCCTGTTAGGCTAAAAAGCAAATGTCGGCTTAACTTACTTTTCATTTTCAAATACTAATTTCAATCAACATGACGTTCAACAATCAAGACTTCTGACAGCTCTCAGTGTTAATGTACATCGTGTAATTGTAGCCTCTGGCATCTGATGTATGCATGCGCTGTGAAAGAACCCTGTGGGAGACATAATTGATTGAATGTTGCAATTATTATACCATCCATTGTTGTATAACGAATATTATATACATATTGTGCACTCCCATTGTGTGCATCTGTGTGTGTGTGTGTGTGTGTGTGTGTGTGTGTGTGTGTGTCTGTTTGTCAGTACACTTTAGTCCAGAGTCAGTTGGGAGAGAGAAAATGAACTCTTGCACACCAAAAGATGTTGTCATCAGATGTGAGTCAGCTGTGCTTTGTGTGCATGTCTCATCTGTATTTCTACACTTATGCATGAGTGTCTTTATGGGTGTGTGTGTGTTTGTGCATGTGCTTGCGTGACGTGAAATCATGACTGTCCACCTGTGTTGGTTAATGTGTAAATATGTATTTGTGTAAATCTG